AAACTGCAACGCCTGAGAAATGTAATGTTAAAACAACCACGAGTCTCATTCAATCTATCGAATGATTAAAAAAATGTTAATAATGAAAATTTGATTTGAATTCTTTCTGGGATTTATTTACAAATAAATTCAGTTGACAACACAATATAGCTACATAGAATTACATATGGTTGATTCTTTTTTTAATCATTATTATAAACAATCTATTTCCTCAGAGCGGTTTTGTCTCTTGTATGAAAAGGAAGCCAGAACTGGGTCCACTGGAGCCTCCGATACAAAAAAGAAAATCAAGAAAAATAATTATACAGATTTCAAACGAGGACAGAAGAAAACAGAAATGACAGATAAAAGTCAAACAGGTAAAATCTTTTTTTCTACAAATATTTACAAATATTACCTGTACAGAAATATCTCTTCTTCTCTTTTTTCTCTGTTTCAACAACAGTCTTTACTTGGCTACAGAGTCCAGTGCTGCCTATAGATATGTGCTCTTCCCCATAGTGTCTCTATATAAAAATAAGAGTTTGTGTCTTCTGTTAAAGTCATTGTGACGGCCATTTGGACACCGTCGTCGCTGAGGGTAAAACGTGTCCAGAGAGGATATTTGACGGTACACTGAGGATGGGGGCGATGGCGGCGGAGGTCCGGGTGAGGGAGAGGGACTGCGCGCTCAGCAGGGCCGACTGCACGGTCACCGGAGGCCGCAGGAAAGCCTGAGCGGCGCCCGGCGAGGACGAGGAGGTGCTGGAGACCCCGATGATGTTCTCTATACTGAAGGACGGCCTGTTGGACGGCTCTGATTTGATCATGGACGCCGTGCTCAGGCTGTTGAGCTGCAGTTGAAGGCTCGGGCTGAGCTGGGAGTTGAACGCCTTTCTGTTCAGCTCCACCGAGGGCAGGAGGGGGACGCCCGGGGGCAGCATGGGACCTACAGGGGGGATGTATGGGTACTGCAAAGCCGCCGGATGGGTATACGCGGCCGGGTGGATCCCGTAGTGCCTCCCGTAGGGGCCCCCGAGGCTGTACGCGCCGAAACTTTGCATCATGAGCGCGGTCTGGTCCCTGAGCATGTCCGGCTGAACCCTCTTGAACCTTTTCCTCCTCCTGAGGAAGCTGCCGTTGTCGAACATGTCCTCTGACGCGGGGTCCAGGGTCCAGTAGTTGCCCTTGCCGGGGTTGCCGGGCTCCCGTGGGATTTTCACAAAGCAGTCGTTGAGGGACAAGTTGTGGCGGATGGAGTTTTGCCACGCCGGGAACTTCTCCCGGTAATATGGGAAGCGGCTGCTGATGAACTCGCAGATCCCGCTGAGTGTGAGTTTTTTCTGCGGGCTCTGGAGGATGGACATGGTGATGAGGGCGATGTAGGAGTAAGGCGGTTTTACCAGGCTGCTTTTGGGCTTCTGGATCGCACCTCCCGACGCTGCGCTCCCGTCGTGACCCTCTCCCTTGCCGGTGCCGGTCTCTCCCTCCCCGGAGCTCTCGCAGCACGGACTCCCTCCACCGGACCCCATCTCCTCCTTCTCCACCTCGATCTCATCCTCCACCTCCTCGTCTCCCGGCTCACCTCGAAGGTCGTGCAGGATGCCTCCCCCCGGGCTGTCGCAGTCGCTGTCCACCCTCTCCATGCCCTCATCGTCTCCCTCGCCAACCACGTCGATATCCACGTCCTCCGCTGTGAGCACAGTTTGGCCGGACATGTCGCTGGCTCTTTCGCTGCCTCCAGACAGGGTCATCTCACGGCTTACTTACACTGTTTCAAATAAAAGTCTTCCGGAGCCAAAGGAATGGAGCAGCCGGGTGTGATGGGTTTAGGTGAGACCAGCGCGGTCAGTGCGCACACGGAGCGGCTCTGTTGGACTTCTGTCTCGCTCCTGTCAAGAGATCGGATGTCTCCCAAAGTCTAAATGCGGTGGAATCGGCCGCCAGACAGTCAAGCCAAAGAGCAACTTCAACTTCTGCAAATATTTCTCCACTCGGTAGAAGTGAGCAGGCCCGTGGAAAGCCGCGCGTCGTGCCTCGAAGTTGCTGGGAGATGTTGCGCCTCTTGCTCTCCGACGTCCCTTCTCCGGCGCGTATATTTCCTACAGGAGTGATATTTGGAGAACCAAGTCGAGATGACACATGCTGCTTTTAAAGGCCGGAGCTTTTAAAAGGGCTGTCTGATAGATTACTTTTCCCAGTAGCTATAAGATATACTATCAGTGGAGGACACGTGGTGCGGTGACGACAGACGCCCCCTCTCCTCTCCTCTCTTCTCCTCCCTCCTCTCCTCTCTCTCTCTGTTAAACCATGCAAACTGGAGTTGTTTCATGGATTTGTCAACAATGGGACATCAGCAATGCTGCTTTCCGCTGATTTCTGTGTTCGCCCGTCATAGACCATTTAACGGTGGCGGAGGGAGGAGGAAGAGGGGAAGAGAAAATTGGCCTGCGTGATTGAAAGATCTGATGCGCATTAACTTGGCTGCGTAAAAAAAACAAAACAACAACAACAATCCAAAGCTTTAACTTTTGCAAATACAAACCCTGTTGAAAGCAGCAGAACGAAAACGACGACAGCTAAGTTAACAGACTCTTCTTTTTGTAATTGTCTTAAACAATTTGTTGACTTCTTTTTCAAAAAAAAAATGTGCATGCGTGCATTTTACTACTTTTACGCAAATGTTCCTGTGCGTATTTGAGACTCTGCGCGTAAAGTTTAAACCTTTTTACTTTGTAGTTTTTGGAGCTGAGATGCATGCCTCGATTCTGTGCAGCTTTACAGCTCATAGTGTGAATCCAAGCTGCAGAGCATGAATTCAAGTCTATTTATTCCCGCAGGATTAGCCGACGGTGGGAAGAATATTGAGCAGCAGCAGCAGCAGTGGCGACAATGAATGGATGGAGGGAATAAAGACTTTCCTTAAGAGTTTGTATGAGGTGCTAACGACCCCGATCATTGCATGATTTTACATTTGAAAACAGTAGGAAATGCGGGCAGCGGGTGAATGCAAAGAGAGCGTTTATTCACAAGCATGAAGGTGAGTGCGCGGTGCTGCGCTCAGGGAGAGGATGTCACATCAAATGCAGAGGCTTCCCTGCGCCCTGTGAGAAAATCTAACGAGACTGGGGGGGGAAAGGAGGCTTTTGTATTTCAGATCATGTTCAAAGCGACCGTCTCTTATCTGGAAAATGTGCAGTTAATAGAGAAAATAGGATTTTCCGATGTGCCACAGACGATTTAAAGGTGCAATTGATTTTTTATCGGAAGTCTTTTTAGGGGGTTAATGAAAATATCCATAATCGACACCAGCCATTTTTTGTGTGTCAAAACCTTTATTAGAATAAATGTTAACATTAATTTAAATTACAAATTGAGATATTACACGTGTAATGGTTATTCTCTGCATGCACCTATTTCATTTCATTTAAAAACAGCACGGGACATAATGCATTTTACCGTAGGAGATTTTATTACTACGATTATTATTACAAATGTATCCCTTAATTACATAATCAACATGAATTTCTTAATTGACACGATAACATCAGAATGCATTTTAACAAAAAACACATTTTCATGATATCATTTTGAACGTTACCTTATTTAAAAGGCCCATCAGTGTTATTAACATTGAGTCTGAGGCTCCAGTTTGATCCTTTAATTCTTTCTTTTAGCTCCGTGCGCCACCTCCGACACCTCGTCGTGCTCCCGGGATAAAAGTGGGATTAATCAAACGCTATCATTAATAATGCGCGTATGGGTCGAAGGAGGGGAACGTGGCTTCCGATTAGATCCGCCGTGTGTGTGTGTTAATCTCACGGTGACCTGTGTGATCTGGAGCTCCGTCAATACGGACTACTTAGCAGATGAAATCAGAGTCTACAGCAACTTGTATCCCACTTATCCGCAGCGCGCAGGTGTATTTAAGAAAACACGTTTCTCAGGCCATAAATTAGATAATTACCTTAAATGTTGCTTGTCATTTAAAACTAAAACTGATCAATTGTGAATTTTTTGTCATTTTCTTTAAACGATTTCACACATTTCTTCACAGCAGCAAATCCAATCAAACCTTTTCCGTGTTATACAGCCTTTTCTGAATTGATGCGCAATTACGCACAAAACACAAATGTCTATTAGCCCAAAAAGACATGGAGTAAACACAACCTTTGTTTTGGTGCATTACAAAAAAGACAACTAGAACTGTTATATGATAAAATAAAAACACTTGATGAAACGTGTTTGGTTTGTATTTGCCATTTTTCTTATTTTAATTATATATCTTAAGGAGTCAGGGGGTCATGGAGTGTCTTCACCATGTGTGTGTCCATGCGTTGTGTGTGGTTGTGTGTGGAGACAGGTGCAGCCAGCCTCCCTTTAAAAAGAAATCCCGGAGTTGCAGTGTTGTGTGAAAGGCAGAGTAACTGCTGATATAACCTGACTGCGGCGGCACCGAGAGTTGGGGGGTTTGCAAACCGCGTCCTTCCTGTGATCTTTTGAAGCCTCATAAATCCGCTTTTATACCTCCGCAGTTTGTTAATGAAATGTACGTTTTAAGCACACATGCACGACTTAGCGCTACAAAACCTTTTAGCATAATAAGCCAACTCGCTCCGGCATGAAACCATTAGGTGGTGGTGGGGGACAGGCGGACAAGAGAGAGGCGGCGGAGGCTGCAGGTGATGGAGAGGAAACCGTCTCCACATGTGATCACTGCAAACTACCAACAAGGTCACCAAACAAATAAATGTGATCATAATAATGTGCTGCTCCGGTGACTCAGGTTTCTTTTCTCTTATCCTCTGTGTCCCCCTTCTGTGTCAGTGGGGGGTCAGAGGTCAGGGTCAACTGCAGGGGGTGGAGGGTCTTTCTCTTGGGCCTTTCTGCAGGGAGGATGTTTGGGTTTTATAATATTTCTACTGTCAAAAGTGACAAGGAAATGCAAAATAACGTTAATTCGTTAAATAGTGGGTGAATCATTATTAGGCTGTCAGAAAATTTTGCAAAACTTTTCTGCAAATTACTGATTTCTCCTCTTTTTCCTACCTCACATTTAAAATACAGAGCTGGTCACTTCACATAAATAATCAGTTAAAAACATTAAAATGCAAATTCTTCACTGTTTTTCAAGGTCATATGTCCAAATATGGAAAAAATACAGATTGTAATTGTGAGGATTTGCAAACAGTGTCAAGCATTTCATTGTGTAACAGATAAAAACAAACGTATCTCTGTCTAAAGTCCTGCACAGAGGTGGATTGTGATTCCATTTTTTGGACACACACTACATAATGTGTAGTGACTCCTTGCTCCCTTTTTGTTTTTGAGCTTTAAATTTCATAAAAAAGTGTTTAAAAATATCTGGCTCAAATAGATTTAATTTCTCTTTCTCACAGGCAACCATTTCAAACAGGAACCCAAAACTGTATTGATTTAAATAATAAAATCATCACCGACTTGAAAATATTCGCTTTTGCTATAAAGTGAAAATACAGACATTTGTCCATGTGATAAAAAGTTCAAATATTTTAGTTGACTCACGTTCTTAAACGCAGCTGTTTGTAGAATAAGATTTTTTTTAGAAGGCAACTCATTTAATTTATTAGATGAAGGAGCAGTTGGGGGCAGCAATGATAAATTAATGGTGTTAGGAGTGAGACTGTAATTACGACCATTAGGTTGATTATTTTACACCAGTAGCCAAATATTCAGCTTGTCGGGTTTAATACAAAAGAAGATATTCCCAACATCATTAAAATATATGTTCCACATTTGGATTTTTCATTGTGGACAAGGTGGAGGCCTCAGAGCTCTGACAGGCTGAGAGACGTGAGCTGGTTTTCTGTCTTCTTCTTTTTGGAAATCACCATTTTTAGTCCTTCTCCTAGAATGCACTCTATCAACCTGCGAGTTTCTGTCAAACAATATGATGGAGCTCATTTTTAAACACCACCCACCCTTCAACCACCCCAGCCGGAGCCAGATCTCCCCGTCACAACAAAGCACAAAGGGCCCAAAAAAGAAGACAGGTGTCCACATGTGTGTATAGAGACACATTACAGCAGATGAGGCTGCAGAAGGACTCACGTCTCTCGCTGCAGCTTTTGGAGCTGAGATAAATTAAGTTATCATGGACTTTGAATTCATTTGTTCACATTAGCTATTGTAACATTTTAAAGGAAACAATCCCCATGCATTTCCAGTTGACTCACCAGTTCACCATGCAATGGTCATATTCTTATTTCCCCACAGATTGTTTCACACAGGTATGAGTTGTGGGTGACATTGTAAAAATGTAGTTTACAGGTTCAGAAACAGACTTTTTGAGTTTGTAGAATAACTGGACATCAGTGTATTTACGTTGTCGATGTTTCTTTCATAAATAACTGCAGCTGACTTCTGATTTTTAGACGTGGATTCTTAGAGGTTGTGTCTTGGGCCTTTATTGAAATTCTGAATATGCCATGCCAATGACTTTTGGTGTAAAATGAAACGTGGAAGAAAATCTATAGGAAATGAAATTATTAATTCCATATAACCTTCAGGCAAAATACAGATAAACAGAAGTGAAGATAAAAGTGGTGCAAAAATCTATGTTGAGAGCTCATTGGCAGATTCCACAGGGATGTTTTTTAAAATATCTGCTTCACTGACCACTTCATTGATTTTCTAATTATTATCTAATTTTTAAATATTTAATCATATTTGTATTGAGGATCATATTGTTATTAGTTCCCTGTCCCATTCCCCAAACTTCTGGAACCACACTCCTCACAGCCCCAGCTCCGCCCGTCCACCCCTCATCCGTCAGTGGGAAGCCCCCTCCATCCACCCCCTATCCCCGGGGGGAGGCTGCATCAACCTGGTGGGAAAGTGACACCTTCAGCTAAATGAATCCGGATTACCATGCCAATGTGTACTTGTTAAGTACGTGCAATGTCACTCAGTTTGTAGGCAGGTTTTGTCATTCAGATTGCGCCCTGAGAAGTTGCACATCGCCGCATCACCGCAGCGATTCAGGCTGTAAACGGCGCACATTGGGCCTTTAAAGCGCGCGTTTAACACGGTGCCACGACACATGCGGCCCGGCTCTGCGCCAAATATTCGTCTGCATAAAACAATAGTAAACTATGTGCAAATACGGTCGGGTGGTGGTGGCGACTGGACTTTAATAAAGCAAAGGAGACACAGAGAAATCCAATAAATGTGTGTGATCAAGATGCGTTTATTTCTATACATCAGAATTCAATGAAAAATTAAAAACCAGTTGCTGAATATAAGTTAATATCACTTGAGTTCATTCCTGTAACATATGAAGACAAAATGTTTCTCCAACACATGTCCAGTGTTTAAAATCATGTTGTGCGTCCTCTTAATGTTTCTTAATTCACATCAAAACAGGGACCTCTCATTGACTATGACCCCTGAACTCATTATCCTCTTGCTTATTGATGCACACATATATGCAACATCACAGAAAATTACCTCCTACGTCCTGTCAGCCCTTCCCATAATAATATCCCTTCATATAATCTGTCAAGTTCTTCACAAAGACATTTTACCTTATCTCCACCTCAGTGAAGTGTGTGTGTTGAAGAAGATAACGATGGTGGCGTGTGGCTGTGTATATTTATGTTTTGCCCATGTGACGGTGAGATGAGTCAAGATTTCAATATATTACCAGGTCTTTTGTTTCTTAGTGCTTGTACCTATGACTGATTTGAAAATAAAGTTGGCTCGTCCCTGTGTTATTAGCTAAAGTAAAATGATTTAATTCATGTTA